AACAAATTTTAATGGAGTTTCTATGCATGCCAGACCATATTGTAAGCACTCAGGACATGGCAGTGAGCAAAGTATTATTATTTTTCCCAATGAGCTAATTATATTCTAGTCTGGGGCGGGGGCAGAAAGTGAATTCACTGATATATCAGTATATAATATGTAAAGCCTGTAGTTTTGGAAGAGAATGCACAGTAGGATAAGAGAGTAGAGGGGGATTGGGACTTGTGTGTCTGTGCTTGTGCTGTTTGGATAGGGTGGGAGGCCTCTCTGAGGTGATACTCAATCAGAGACCTGAATGCTGAGAGGACTTGACCTTTTGAAATTCTGGGGGAGTCTTCCTGGCAGAGGGAAGAACAAATGCAGAGGTCCTGCAGTGGACACATGCTTGTGATCTTCAGGAGAGTGCAAGGAGACTGTTGTGGACTGTTGTGTCCATCTGGACTAGGATGGGTAGTGAAGAGAGAAGTGGGAGATGGGGTCAGAGAACTTGAAGACCAAGGGGAGGACTTGGCTTATACTCTCAATGAGATGGGAAGTCATAGGAGGGGCATAATGGGCTTTAAAGGCGTCACTCTGTATTTATGCACAGAAGTCACATCACATGCTGCTGAGAAGTCAAGTAAGCTAAGAATTGAGAATTGGCTGCTTAGGTAGTCTAATTATTCTTTTGATTGACTCATATGTGCAAGAACCCAAAAACACTCTTGTTTTGTAGCCAGTCAAGGATTGGTATGGGTAAAGGACTCGCTTTGATCTTAGCTATGGGATCCTTTATCAGTTCTCTCCTCTTCACTATATAAAGATTTCTAACTTAGGCTGTGGAATTTGTCTCACTGCTTACTTCCTTTTCCTCCACTTTGTGATAAGCTGCGAGCTCTTGTTAACCACCAGGGCAGTCCAGGGCCTTCAGTGTGTTTCACAGTGGCACAGACGATTCTGCAGGACCACAATTTGTTCTAGTTTGTTCAGCAGTTACTGTGGTGCTGTTATGTTTTGATCGATTGTCCTGGATATGAGAGACATGTGGAAGTATAATATTAAGATTTCCGTGTTCAGCTAGGTGTAGAGAATGGGAGAGGAACTGCCTTGGTAGTCCAGCGACTGACTCCACACTCCCCATGCAGGGAGCCCAGGTTCGAGCCCTGGTCAGGGAACTAGATCCCACTATCTGGCAGAGCCAAATAAATAAATATTTTTAAAAAACCACCAACAACAAGAGAAATCAAGAAAATCAAGACAAGTGGTGCCTAATCTTAGATGATATCTGAGGAGAGTACAGTAGTGCCCCCCTGTCTGTGGGGAATGCATTCCAGGATCCCCTTTTGATGCCTGAAACCAAAGTACTGAACACTATAGAAACTATGTTTTTTCCCTATACATACATACATACCTAGGGTAAAGTAATTTTGATAAAGTAATTTAATGGTAATTAATAAATTAGGCACAGTAGGAGATTAACAGCAATAACTAATAATAAGATATCAAACCAGTCAGTCCTAAAGGAAATCAGTCCTGAATATTCGTTGGAAGGACTGATGCTGAAATTGAAACTCCAATACTTTGGCCACCTAATGTGAAGAACTGACTCGTTAGAAAAGATCCTGATGTTGGCAAAGATTGAAGGCAAGAGGAGAAGGGGATGACAAATTAGATGATTGGATGGCATCACCGACTCGATGGACATGAGTTTGAGCAAGCTCCGGGAATTGGTGATGGACAGGGAGGCCTGATGTGCTGCAGTCCATGGAGTCGTAAAGAGTTGGACATGACTGAGCAACTGAACTGAACTGAATAAGATAGAACAGTTATAACAACATACTCTAGTAAAAGTTAGGTGAATGTGGCCTCTCAGATTTGGTGCTTTTTTCATCTTAACTAAGCCCTTATGCACTGTGTTCATTACTTCTGAAGTTTGAGGTGCAGCAGCAAAACTGAGCATGAATTTCCTTTTTCTTCTTCACAACTTCATGGATAGATTTGCTCTTACCATGGACCTTAGCAGCCTCAGCATACAATATTTTTCTTTCCTCCTTAAGTTGAACTTTTACCTTTTTACTTAAAAGAAGCTCTGTTTATGGTTTCTCTTTGGCACATCTGAATGTCCAGCATCACTGTTCTTGCACTTTGGGTTATTACTATGTAAAATAAGTTCACTGCACAAAAGTATGTACCAAGATAGCTACTAAGTGACTAACAGGTGGGATACTGTAGATGAAGGGATGATTTGCATCCCACGCAGGATGGAGCAGAGTGGCAAGAGATGTCATCATTCTGCTCAGAATGGTGCCCAATTTAAAACTTATCAGTTGTTCATTTCTGGAATTTTCCATTCAATATTTTTCAGACCATGATTGACTTTGGATAATTGAATCCAGGGAATCTGTTGATAGGTGAGGACTCTGTTACTGATGAGGCAGGAAGCATCCAAGACAAGAACAGAGTGGGAGAGTAATGTGATTTTGGACAGGATAAGTTTGAGGTGTCAGCAGAGGTACATTTTGAGCCATTTAGGAGATAACCAGAGGTCTTAGAGGTATCATTTTGGACACTGTTCTTCATTAAATTACTGAATTCAAATGTACCGCAGTACCATAACTCTTCCATCTGTGGGGACCTGAAACATGAATTAAGCCCAATCCCTCTATATCCCTCTATTTTAAAATCCCTCTATAATATCCCTTCTCTGAGTCTCCATTCAAATATTTCCTCAGGCGACTTTTCCTGTCCATTTGCAATTCCCACTAGTACTAATTCTAAGCCCTGGGGATTAAATAAATGCCTTTTCCATCTGTCCAGAATCAGGTTATGGGTCAGTTGTTATCATGTCCTTCTCTGGGTCTTCTCTTTTCTGTACAAGATAATTCTTGCTCATTAACCGTTTTCTCATGGGATGTTTCAAACCAGTTCACATCTTGGTCTCTCACCTTGGAAGATGTATATTTATTGTTTTCTTGTACCTTAATGTTTGGTGGATGAGACTGAGAACAGGACTCTGGGACTGGCCTGACCATCACAGAGTAAGCTTTTCAGTTGCTCTGAGCATTCTGTCTGACAGTGATTTTTCAGATGTAAACATGTTTCTTACAGGTATTACCCAAGAAAACTGAAAGCGTATATTCACACAGAAACTTGCACATGAATGTATGTTGCAGCATTATTCAAAATAGCCCCAAAGTAAAAACAACCCCAATGCCTGGTAACTGATGTATATATAAACAACATGTGATATGTCCATACAATAGAATCATAATATTCAGCCTTGAAAATGAAGTACTGATATGGTACAACATGGATGAACCTTGAAAACATGCTAAGTAAAGGAACCAGACACAAAAAAACTACACTGTGCATACTTCCATTTATGTGAAATGTGCAGTATAAGAAAACTATAAAGACCAAAAGTAGATAGTAGTTGCCAGTACCTAGAGGGAGGAAGGGAATGGGAGAGTGACCGCTAGTGGGTATGGGGTTTCTTCCTGGGGTAATATAAATGTTCTGAAATTGCACAACATGGGGAAGGTGTTAAAAGCCACTCAATTGCACACTTTAAAATGGTGACTTGTAGTAATGTTATGGTATGTGACTTGTATCTCAATAAAGCTGTCCTAAAAAAATACAAGTTTTACCTTCCTGTCTGAAGGTGAGGATCTTATGAAGAATCAATGAAATAACACAAATAAAATGTTTAAAGCACAACACCTGCTAGTTTGTACTCCCAGTTAAAGATTCTTATTGTTGCTCTCAGGTAAAGTCATACTGCTTAAATATTGGTAAGCTGCAACTTTCAGTCACTGCTACATTTGTAGACTATTACCTGTTAAGTAGTATGCAGTCAATAAATCCTTATTGAGTGAATGTGTTTTGTTCACATTCATATTTAGCTACTCATATGTTCTTTTTCTTGCAGTGCATTTCTGAATCCATATCATTGGGCCTAACATTGGGCTCTTTGTCCACTGGTAGCAATCGAGTTGATAGGGAACTCTTCACAGCCCATGTTTCAGTGTGGAAGGTGAAGTTGGCAGTATAGATTCAGTCTGGGAAAGGAAGGTCTCTACCTTATTAAATACAAGCAGAAGGTTGTATGATTTTTAACCTTTTTTCCCCCAGTAATATAATTCTGCTCTGTGTTTTTATAAGAACTTAATTGGCCTGTCAAGAATGCGTTTCTAATGGTTCATTATCAGATTGCTAGAGAGTTGAGGACTTCATCTGGATTAAAAAAAAAATTCAATTCCTAGAAATTTAACAGATGTTCTCCTGAACCCAGCTGACAATTGCCATGTATAACAAAGTGTTATTTTAAATTATGATAGAAGCATTTTTTTCTTGGAAAAAAAATGGAAATTCACGTCTTTTCTTGAACTTGGCATTCCTCTAAAAACACTGAGTTGCTTCTACAACTGCGTCAGCAAGGTGCCATCTGCTTAACTGAGGCTCATGAAAAGAAAGAAACCCATTGTTGTTTGTATCATCCAGCGCTTTTTCTAGAAGAGTAGTGGAAATTTTCCCCTTTGGTTTCTGAGGAATGCTTGACTCTCTCAGCTTCCTTTGGTCTTCCTGTACCGTGAATTGTGAGGTCGATCCTATTTCCTTGTTACCGGAAACTGGTGGGAGGCTTGGGTCCAGCGTGTGGCTCACTGCTCACGAGAGCGGACTTCACTCCTCTCCTGGCCTTTATTGGGTGCCGCTCTCCCTCTAGACTCCAGCTTTATTTCCTGCTCTGATTTTCTCTTTGCCCTAAATTTATATTTCCTTTCATTTTTATTTCTGTCTGTGTATATCTTCAAGAGATGCTCTTCTAATTCTTTGGCAGACAACTGGGAGACAGTGTCACCATTATTGAAGCCAATTTTAAAAATATCACTCTTTAAAAACCTTTCCCCCCAGGACATCAGGCAGGAATGGAAGGAAAAGCAAAACTGTCAGGAGAGTTGGAAAGCATGTTTTTTTCTCCCAGAAGCTTTTTCTGAATGTCTCTTTTTCCTGTTTTTTAATAGAAGTTGGTGATATGGCAAAGCAGTACATAGAGAAAGGCCTTTTGGTTCCCGATCATGTGATCACACGCCTCATGCTGTTGGAGCTGGAGAACAGGCGCGGCGAGCACTGGCTACTTGATGGTGAGTTGAATCTAGGGGTCCACCCGGCTTCTGCTAGTAGTGGGTCATGGTCTCCTTGAACACTTCCATAATTTCTTACAGATTGCAAAGTGCCTTTTTTCCCCAGTCATTTCTTTAGACATATTCCAATTTTGCAACATAATTAAAAAACCCATGTGGTGAAGCCTTTTAATTCCTTTGTCTGCAGACTACCATCCCTAAAGCCATCAACTTGAAGCAAACCTTAATTGAATTCCCATTATTGTTCCAGTTTTGACGGTGCTTTTTGTTTCCATGACTAAGTCATCATAAGTATGACTCATCTTAAATCAGGGGTTCTTTCATTCAAAATAAGCCACATGAATTAAAAGCATTTGTTATCATTTTTTTACCTGTCAGATTTAAAAAAGAGAAAATCTGAAAATCTTTTTTTATTGAGGGTGTAAGAAATAAGTATTCTTGAGAATAAAATGGGTAACCTTTGGAGGGCAATTTAATAGTGTTTAGCAATTCCCTGCTTCATTTCTTGCCTAAAAATATATATTCAAGGATGTTTATTTTCAGCAATCTTTGTAAGGCACTGGTTGTTGTTCAGTCCCTCAACTCTTCGTAATCCCATGGACCGCAGCATGGCAGGCTTCCTGGTCCTTCACCATCTCCCGGAGTTTGCTCAAACTCATGTCCTTTGAGTTGGTGATGCCATCCAACCATCTCGTCCTCCATCGTCCCCTTCTCCTCCTGCCTTCAGTCTTTCCCAACATCAGGATCTTTTCTAATGAGTCAGCTCTTCGAACAGGTGGCCAAAAGTATTGGAGCTTCAACTTCAGCATCAGTCCTTCCAGTGAATATAAAGGGTTGATTTCCTTTAAGATTGAGTGATTTGATCTTGCTGTCCAAGGGACTCTCTCAAGAGTCTTCTCCAGCACCGCAGTTCAAAAGCATCAATTCTATGGTGCTCAGCCTTTTTTATGGTCCAACTGTCACATCCATACATGACTATTGGAAAAACAATAGCTTTGACCTTTGTTACAAGATGCTGGTAACAACCTAAGCATTCATCTTGTGCTCAGTCCCTCAGTCACGTCCAACGCTTTGCAGCCCCATGTACTGTACCCACCTGGCTCCTTTGTCCATGGGGTTTCTCAGGCAAGAATGCTGAAGTGGGTTGCCATTTCCTCCTCCAGGGGATCTTCCTGACCCAGGGACTGAACCCGAGTCTCTTGTATCTCCTGTGTTGGCAGGCGGATTCTTTACCACTAGCGCCACCTGGGAAACCAAGTATCTTATCATAGGGTTGCTTTAAATTTTGGTATGCCCATTAACCAAATATCTATATCTATGTATTGATATAGATAGAGCTTTAAGATAAACTGCCAAATGAAAAAAACTAGTTTCAATATAGTATATATCATATACTATTATCTCTGTAAAAATGAAGAGATGGTATAATATTACTGTATGTACTTATACACACATATATAAGCTGTCTTCGGAAGGATATAAAAAACTGATAACCGTGGTTGGCTCTGGATAAGGATTAGGGTTGGGAGAGAGATTTACCTTTCATTGTATATACCCTTTGCTACTGTTTGATTTTTAATATCTAAATAATACATAGGCCTAATTTTTCAAAAAACTCAGACAAATGTTATATCACTTATATAGACTCTTAAAAAATGATACAAAATCAACCTTATTTATAAAACAGAAATAGATTCACAGACATAGAAAACAAGCTTATGGTTACCAAAGGGGCTAACAATTGGGAGGAGATAAAGTAGGAGTTTAGGATTAATATATGCACATTATTATATATAAAATGGGCTTCCCAGATGGCTCAGTGGTAAAGAATCCACCTGCCAAAGCAGGAATGCAGGAGACATGGATTTGATCCCTGGATCAGGAAGCTCCTCTGAAGTAGGAAGGAAATGGCAACCCACTCTAATATTCTTGCCTGGAAATTCTATGGACAGAGGAGCCTGGTGAGCTATAATCCATGGGGTCACAAAGACTTGGATGTGACTGAGCATATATATTAATATATATAAAATAGATAAACAACATAGATGTACTGTGTAGCATTGGGAACTATATTCAATATCTTAGACCTATAATGGAAAAGAATGTGAAAAATAATATATATATTCAATTATGTATATATATAACTGATTCACTTTATGCTTGAAACAGCATGGTTAATTAACTATACTTCAGTTTTATAAAAATAGTTTGAAAAAAACAACTCAATGGTTCCTATGATATGTTACCTAGGAAAATGCATACAGATGCTCACACATGAGCTACTGCAGTTTTGTACTTAAGGAAGACGGAATTGAGAATCATCTACTTTAGTAGATGATTCTTTAAGCCCAGTATAAATCTTTTGATTTATTAATTGAAAAAAAAAAGGACTGTGTGGATTATTTGTCTTACTCTTAAATAGCAAGATTCCTTGGCAGTGAAAATAGAAACTTGATGAATATACTGCTTTCTAGGAATGAAAGGATAGTGAGATTTATATATAAGAAACGTCTTTCCATTGCAGAGTAGTTTTCCTTGAGTTCACCCAGTGTACTCTTTCCTGTCTTACTTTGGAGAACCAAAGCCTCAGCATGTTGTGACAATGTGAACTTTAATGTTTGTCAGCCACAGAGAAGCCAGGGTGAATTGTCCTACATTTTAACTATCAGATTGCCTATTTCTCCTAAAGTCTGGAGCTGTGACTCTCCAAAATGACTAATATGTTGTAGAGTAGTTCTGTATCAAGTGTGTAGCGTTAGTAATGGGTTGATGAGAAAACAGATTGTAGTTTAGAAAATGTTAGTTTAAATATTAAAGATTGCTTGAATTTATTGAACACTGACTATGTGCCAAGTAGTGATCTAAGCTTTAGATATTTATTATCTCATCCAGTCCCTACGGTGACCATATGAAGGTAGAGATTGTTATTTCCATTTAATAGATGAGAAAATGGAGACAAGGTAGGGTTCACTTACCTATTCAAAGTTAGTAAATCCAAAGTTAACCAACTTCTTAGGACTTTAGTGGAACTTTACTATGATAGTGTGATTTAACTCTTCATAGAAGGCAATATCATGAGGCATTTTCTGAATTTGTTTAAGCCTGGAATCTCCTGCCCTATTGAGAACCTGCATGTTTGGTTCTATGGACCATTCTTTGTGAACTCTGCTGTTCAACATCTATTCTTCAGTGTGGAGGTGTTCTGAAATGTTGACTGTAGAGTAGATCATATCTTTCTAGAATGCCTTCCATTAAAAATACTGGGAACTGTGTTCTCATGGGGCTGCAGGGAACCAACAGACTGAACTGAAAATTTCTGCTGAGAGAGGCTATAATGGTCTGTGGAAAGTATATGTTTATTTATTAGTAATGAATAAAGCTCCTGCTGTGAGTCAGGAACTGTTAGGTGCTGTTGATAAAATGACAAGACACTTTCTGTATTAAGGGTCTTATATCACAGTAGGGGAATCAGGTGTGCAAAAAATCATGAGAGTATAATGAAATCAATGCCCATGTGGGTACACTGAGGACCCAAAGGAGAAAATTATCTCTTCTCGTGGTAGAAAGTGGGATTGGCAACTTTATGGTAAAAGAGATGAATAGAGTGAGGTCCTGCAGGTTGATGAATGGGGTTGGAAGGAGGATTTTTTCATCAAAGGGGTAACATGAACGGGGTAAGAGAGGAATGACTTAGCCTAGTGTTTTCCTGGGCCTGCAGACAGAGGCAGAGGAAATCCTGGCAGAGGCAGAGGAAATCCTGGGGTGATAGATTCTGTACAGAAGTGGTGGAACTGGAAATTGTTGGTGATATGGACCACTGAAGTCTTGTGTGTGCATTCTCAGTTGCTTCAGTGTCTGACTCTTTGCGACCCTATGGACTGTAGCCCACCAGACTCCTCTGTCCATGGGATTCTCCAGGCATGGGTTGCCATGCCCTCCTCCAGGGGATCTTCCCAATCCAGGGATTGAACTCACTTCTCTTGCATCTCCTGCATTGGCAGATGGGTTCTTTACCACTAGTGCCACCTGGGAAACTCATTGAAGACTTATGAAGCAGTAGCATGATCAAATCTGTTGGTGTTTCAGAAAGACTGTTCCGTTAGCAGCAGGACAATTAGATGTTGGGGTAGGGGAGGAGATAGTGACCTGAAGCTGGGGAAGAGATTGTTAGCACAACTGGACCAAGAGATGTTGAAGGCCTGAATTTAAGCATTAACAGTGACATGGCCAGGAGGCACCATGCCTGAAAAATTGCCTTGATGAGGAAAAATTGACAGGAGTGTTGACTGATGTTAGGTACTATACACCTGGGGTTCTCTATGATTGCCTTCCCAGCTTTTGGAGTTTCTTGCCTATTAGTACCTTACCTGTACTTCTCCAGTTCTGTTAATTTCTCCAGACTCTAAATATTTTAACTCACAAAAATTAACCCCCCACTACTTCTTTCTTATGTTGGTATTTTCCATGACTGATAACTTGAGCTTTGCCACCACCTAACAGTAATTTACATTTCTCTAGTTTAAATTCTTTAATTGTAAGTTTTCTCACCTTATAAAATGAACTTGTATAGTTTTAAGTAAACAACTGTTAAAAAAGGATCATGTGTCTTAAACTCCTTTGGGAAGGTGGTTAGTGTAATCACCACTAATTCCAGTAGTACCAGTGATTTCAATCCCAGCTCTGCCATTTACCGGCAATGTCAGTGACCTTGGGCAAAGTACCTTATTCCTCATGGAAAACAGGGATTACAGAAGGGATGAAGTAAGTGAATATATGTAAAGGGCTTAGAAGAATTCTTGCCATTATAGGAAGTACTATATGAGATTTTGTGATTTGTTGTACATGAGGTCCAGGTGGTGAATTTTTTTTTTTTTTTTGGTGATTACGTGAAGCATTAAGTTCAAAAATAGTTTAAAACATCTTTAGCTACATGAAGTTAAAAAGGCAGTTTCAGTTGTGAAATGTTTTATGTATCTTTTCACTGCTTTGCTTTTGCCATA